CATAAAAATTACATATTTCCCCAAGAGTGACTAATACGGGGTCTACAATATTGGCCACAGAAAAGACTATAATGGGGTAGGGGTTCTGAGAGGCCAGCGGCACATACCCAGCAAAAATTAACGCAAGTAACCCCGGGGCGCCATGTTTCGTTGAAATCATAACAGTTTTCCTGGAAAGCTCCCGGGATCTCAGTCAATCTTAACAAGTTTAATTTTCTTTTCAACCTAAACAGGAGCTCCTGACCTAAATCAAAATGATTAGTAAAAAGAATAGTGCCCTTATTTTTGACCCCAAATTTATTTTTCTATTTAAAAAACATGAAATGTTCTGGCGGCGTTGTCCATGTTTCTCATATGGCGCGAAAACTTACTTTCATATGACAACATGCGGTTTTTTTTTTTTTCTCAGGAGGTCAAAGGGATGTGATTTTTCATGAAAAAAATATGCACAAAATTCTGCTTGACTTGTTAAGAAAATAATTTGTTTAATGTTTAATAATTAACTAACAGCTCATTGATTTATTAATTTGGGCGACCAACTTAGAGGCCCGGGTACCCCAGCTAAAAATGCTTGGGGAGCCCAAAGGGCTCTCTGAAATTTTCCCTAGAGAACTTCCTTGCAGCCCTGTAGTTATTGGAAGTATGATACATTACATGCTATTGTTAAATGTGGAAGTGCATTTTTTGAGGACATTAGTAAAGGAATGCAAATTTTAGTGAACTACCCCATACTCCTAACATATATGGTGGTAATATTGATGTAAGTTTTGTTTTGAGTAGCAAAGGAACCCTTGTGTGTAACTCATCTTCTACTGTATTAGTCCTTAACAGAACATCTCCGTCTCTCCTGCACACATTTGTTGCATACACTACTCAACTTCCATTTCCATCCAACATACCCGTCCGTAATTCTTTCTTAAACCCACACATCCCGCGTAAGCGCCTTCGGGCGTCTTCTTGTTATTTCTAGTTTATTTATTTATTTTTCGTGGCATGTCTGTAAAGTAGCTAATTAGCTGTAAGAACATTGACCACGTTAAATAAAGGGTAATATATTGTACTGTATTTGTAAAAACTATCAATTTTACTATATTTATACGCTGATTTTGTTATAGAGTAGGTTAGTTTCATTGTTATGCAAAGTAACTAATCATCTTATGATAAGTATGTTTATTTACCAGTTAAGTCTTCACTCTTAACAGAGTATTGTTACATGCATTTTAATAATTACTTTGTAGAGCATATAAGAGGAGATATGAGGTGGGTGGGGGGGAATCATCACGTAAATCTTGAATAAAGAAGGGGGGTCAGTTGCTATTCACCTGGTTTGCAAGGGGGGCCCTTACAGCATGTTACAGACATTTCGATCTTTCCAACATATTTTTCCCTCCCCGCCTCTACATAAATAATGACCGGTCCCTTATCTAAACATTACATGCTCATTAAACCCACCTTTTCCACGAATTAGCTCTAAACTAAAGTTAAGCATAACTTCAACAGGGTGCAAAGAAAATCATTTTTACAGCTTGCCCTTCGGGCAAGCTGAAGCTAGCATTTACTATCCCAGATGTCATTTCAACTAGCCCCAAAAACGTTTTGTTCTTCTGTTATTCGAATTCCTCATAAAACACCACTTGCCCGTCGGGCAAGTTGAAAACAGAATTCACTAGCCCGATAGCAAAATCCACTAGCCCCGGGCTATCGGACAGTACTTTCTTTGCACGCTGCTTCAAGCATACCTGACAAGTAAGCTTACCTGTTTCACGACTTCTGTCATGCCATGTCTCTATCCAACTGTTGACAAGAACCGTTGGAGGTCAAATCCGAGTTCCTGAAGTGAAGTAATATTACTTTGGGTCAAATTTACATGAATTTAACTGCAGACGTGTTCAAGCAATTTTCACTCAGTCGCCATATTGGTTTCTTGTAGGACCCAGTCTCAACTGAGTCTCTCGCGCGAGCTTTCGCAGTACTCGTTTCGCGCTCCTCGAGTACTCGTGAACGTGCAGCAGCTTCTTTTCTGCAGAAAAGAGATACGTTTATGCTTGTAGCGACTTGCTCATAAAATTTAACGACTATGGACGAGATAATCAATAAATCTCACCTCTAATAGTGACAACCATTTCAACTGAGATTGGAATAATGATACCAACACAAAGTTAACCTATGCGACCACAGGCAGCCCAAGCTCAGTATGAGAGTCAGCCTCATCATCAATTCGTGTGGTCTCGTAAAATAGCCCTCAACACATAAACGATTTGTATTGGAATTCAGGTGAAAGATTCAAAAAGATAAATCTCACTGGGATTTTCAATAAAATACACATTATTCACTTGGTTTTTCTTAATTGTTTGCTGTGTGGTTATTTTCCCAATCCTCTTCGATTCAAGCGATTTTATAAATCCTTGCTTATCTTAAACTATTCATACAGTAGGAGTAATTATTCCGGAGAGAATTTTGTCTCTCAGTTCAAAGCTTGAGGTGAAACTGTTACCAGAACTCTAAAGCGTAAGTCACTTTCCGCCGCCGAAATATTTTCCCCAAATTTGTACAAGTGATATTGCCCGCGGGCTACAATAGTCTCCTTTCGATTTAAACTCTTAACTTCACAGGCTTCGGTCAATTTATAAGCGGCAGTCTTTAAATTTCTGTTCCTTTTTTTTCTGTCTTTCTCTGTAAATGCTCTAATCAGCGCCTTTCTTCAAATAAGCTCTCCCCCTCGAATTAGCACCCCCCATTAAAGCTAGAAATATAGTTAGCGCCCTCCAAACCTCCCCTAGAGAAAAAAACAGTGAATATGAGGCAAAGAGAGCTAAGACGACTTTACAGGGAAAAGGAATTTGAGAGCGATCGCACACAGACACGATACTTTTGTGTTTACTTAAAATAAAGACAAATGTTATTCTGAGACCGCCTTCAAATAAGCGCCTCCTTCGACCTTCTTCTCAATTAATAAAGTAAAGAAAGCGTCCCCCTGAACTGAACGTTATATTCAGGCATTCACGGTAATTGCTCTAGACGTCCGCACAATCATAAACGTGAGACATTAACGCATCTTTTTTTTAATATGAAACCATTTAACCCATACTACGTCAATCTTAGCCTACGTGTGGCCGCACCCTCCCGCCAACAAAGGAAAAACGTTTTTCCTTTGTCGGGGGGAGGGTGCGGCTACTCGTAGGCTACGTCAATCTGAATCTATCATTTTACGTTTTAAAGGCTCCCTCTTTAATCAGTGAGTAAAAGGGTGTCGGACTGAGGTGGTAGCTGTTGGTTGGGAACCGCAAAACAGTTCTCCCATGGCATGCGTATGGAGATGGATCAGAAAAATTAACCTGTCTACCCAAACATTTTGTTAAAAAAACAATTTCAGCTGCTAAGCACGCGTACCAACTTCGCGGTGTAGCCAGTACCTCCTTACACATGCGCACAACCATATCATCCAGGCAGTGGCAGCCAAAGACAGCTGTTCGTCGAATAAGTACTTATCAGCATGGCATAGCCCCAGGCGAGAGGTCTCACCTGCGACCATCGACCCCGCCGTTTACTGCCGAGGCGAGTGCCTAAAGCACTCCTTTAAGCGGCAGCTCCGATGCCATGCTGATGAGTCCTAATAAGGACGAAACATCTGTCCATGGCTGCCATTACCATGGTGATATGCTTGTGCGCATGTGTAAGGTACTGGCCATTAAACAATAAGAATCATAGATATAAGTAAGATCCGCCATGAATTAAAATTCGCATAACTAATCGCAAATCAATCGGCCAAGCCGCTTTCTACAACTGATGTCTGTTCCCCTTTATCAGCACACGATGGAAGAAGTAACCACCACTGAAGTGCAGATACCGTAAATCCTCTACTAAGCCCCCCTCTCAAATAAGCCCCCTCACTCTAACATAATAAGCCACCATTCACTTTCAGGGGAAGAAAGTTAATAAGCTCCCCCCTCCCCTCCCCTAATTATTTTTCACTTTTAAATGAGAGACTGTATTAGTCAATCACGACTGTTAAACTTTGTGTGGACTGATCCGGGATAGTTTAATTACCAACTGGAAGTTCGGATTTGATTCTGATCCTCGGCTGCATGACCTCTAACCTTCTTGTACTTGAGCTTTTCCATTTTGCATTCTAGTTCTTTATGGAGAACTGATACCATCATCTTTTCTAAATAAATAAGCCCTCCTCTCAAATAAAATTAACTTGCGGTAACTAAACCGGCCAAATTTTTGCCTAGACTTCCTCCAACCCCTCCCCCACCTCAAAAATATCAAGACAGGGTAGTGAAAGCCAGAGAGCTCCGACAAATTATACAACTATAAATTTCAGACAGGTGACTTAAATAAGAGAAAAGCTTTAAACGGCCGGAAACCGCGGAGAGTCTGTTGCTGCGCTACATTATATTATATTATATCATGTGTTATAGAAGGGGAAATTGTAAAACCAAGACTTCGCCATGCGACACACTTCTTTTGAACGACCCAAAAAACACCTGTAGACAGCGAGCAATCTCTTTCTTTCTTTCTCCGCCCCTCGAATTGGAATTGGCGTCTCCTTACGCGTGGCTTTTCGTGACTCCTCCAAATGGAGAGCTTGCTTTCGAAGAGTAAAGGGCGGATCACCCCACCTATCATGTAAACGTGATCAATTAACATGAGAGATTATATGGACAGGAGGGTCACCCCACCAAAACGGGTTACCTCACCTACCTGGGGTCCCCCACCTCTACGTAAACAGGCCCTTCGACACCTGTACTGTTGTCACTGGTGACCGCCCTGCATCGTCATGTTTGATATTCGATATGCCATTACATTACAGTGCAGTGCAACATAATCCTCGATCACGGGATTATACTCAGTGCCACTGGCTGTCCTAATTGTGATCATTACGCAGTAGTTTTGCACACTCAGTAGCTACTCAGTCTCGGTTTCGAAGCCGTTCCAAGGAAGACGCGGTATCTGTTCCAACTGTGTGTTAACATCCGGAAAGAAAGCGCATTATCATGCTCTTCCTGCTGATTGCTGCTGCCCTCATCTGCAGTAAAGCTGCAGCGAATTCGCCTTGCAGTAGCCTCTACGTCTCGTATGATTTGTCAGCGAATTTTAACGAAACGATCGCCCACAGCATTCACTCCATGACTGTACAGGGACTTCGTTTGTTTAACCCACGAGCGACCGAAGACAACCGCGTACCGACCGTAAACCATGATATCCACGACGAGGTAACTTCTTTTAGTTATACTTTTTTATTATCATTTTCGTAAATCCTCTTGCAATAACAGTAACAGAGCCTCAATCACCCATGGGTAAGGGGGGAGGAGGGGGAGGGGCACTCCCTTATTTGGCCTAAACGGTTATGTGCTGCTGAATAGGATATGTTTTGCACGACCTTGACGCAAAACAAAACGAACCAGGGTCATAAAATGAGGTCTCTTGCCTTAAACAAAGCAGCGAAATAAGCAATTTTTGCCTTCAACAGGCGCAGGGTTTGAAGGCCTCCGTGGCACACCTCTACCCAAACTTCCCTTGAGTGCCTTCCCCTCCCCCCCCCCCCCGATTGAATCTGCAACAGAAATGTTAGACGGGGAGGAAGGCGAGAAAATCGAGTTAAAACCGTAGACTGTTACTATCGATGTTTATTTTATTGCACTGAACATCGCTCAACTCCTCTTCTTGCCTCAGCAGCCATAAGGATCTCGAGGATCGAAACTGCCATCGAAACAAATTTCCAACTGAAATTTCTCACTCCTACATCATCCCTTTGAAGAAGACATGTTTTTATACTCTCTTGAGAATATTCCTTCTTAATTCTCTGTTCAAAGGTGAAAGGTCAGAAATGGTTGGGCAATAAGTAAGTGGTGATGAACCTGTTTCTAAAAAAACACACAGAATTTCCACTCTGAAAACCAAAAAACAAATCATTTTATGTCTGAAGAACGTAAGTGTTTTCGATTTTCTGAGACGAGTAAAAGTAAATTTAGACGGATTCAACTACAACCTTTAAAATATGTTCGTGAAAACCGTGAAAACAGTTTAGTTTTCCACCTTTGTTCTATCTAGCTTTAAGTCCTGGTCTCATGCAGGCCCGTAGCAAGCATAAAATGACTGGGGGGGCTGAGCGAGTGGCCCACATTAACTCCCCCCCGCTTCGGTCCCTCGGTTAAAGCATACTTCTTAGTACGTGTCAGTTCACTACATTTGTCTACAGCACCTTTTGTTCTTGTCTCTAATTTTCCGTTTGTGTTGACTTTGAGGAAATTGAGAACTTGTTTGGGATATCATTCGCGGAAAATTTGCCAAACAAGTGCTTTCCAACGAAGTCATTAGCTACGTTTACAAGGTCAGAGCGTCTGTTCTGTCCTTGTGAACATGCAACATCATGAGGTGGTTCAGTCTAGAGTCTCCCGTTGTTGAGCGCAAATACGTCTTCACCTGCTTTAAAGCTGAAAACGATCTTTCACTAACGGAGAGAGTAAAAATTTCGCTTAATAGTTTTCTGCGGGAGCTATCAAGGGACTGCAAGAAGGTTACCACATCATTGACGTCAAATTCTGAAGTGTCAAACCCCACTGACTCTGCTGTCTGTGGTAAAAGCAAGCGTTGTTCTTTACACTTGAAAGATATTTTAAAGCTGTTGGTTGTTTTTGGCAGAGCAAAAATACGATTTCGTTCATTTACACAATTCTAGATTGCACAGAAGAACAACAGTACATAATCTTACTATGATCGACAATAATTTGAAATTTTAGCTTCCATTGACAGCTGTCCATTTTAGTAGAAAAATTCCACTTTTGTAGCAGAATTTAATTCAAGTCTGAAAATTTCTGGGGCCTGCCCCTCCCCCTCCCCCTGCTACGGGCCTGTCTCATGTGTTTCCTAGCTTATTGCCAAATATTCGGAAATTGAATGTAGCCGCCTGTAGCCCGGGATTGACGGATGTTACTAAAACGGGGAACGGGGAGCGGGGAGCGGGGAACGGGGAACGGAAGTCTGGGAACGAGTTGTCAGCGGAAACCTCCATAAAAATCCAAAATGGCCGGTAAGGATCAAGGACCCGGTAAGATCGATGATAGAGAAGCGTCGAAACAACACTTAAGGTCGCTATTTTACTAATGAACTATATGCTCATGAGGTGCTTGAAATAATACGGAGGTAATAATGTCATGACATTTTTCACCTTTTTGCGTTTTACTAAACAACAAAATATGCTTCAACAGCAGTTGAAAGAAGCTACAGTCGGGACAAAAACTCTCAAAGCACAGCCATATTTGGAACTCAAGCGAATCTATACTGGGTCTAAGTCACAAAGCAATGAACTACTTTTGCTTGACGCTTTTCGTAGGGTTTTGGCTTAAATACATGCTGAAAGATAACGTAGATCGAAGCAGCCAGGTGTATTTCCTCGACAGTAATAGTGTAGCAGTGGAGCTCCTTCTTAGCTGTAGCGTTTTTTCAAGCCCAAATTAAAACATGTTGGCGATGAGATAAAACTGTAAGTCTAATAATATTATATTTACAAACCTATGATGAGAAGTAAGTGCAATTGTATTATTTGAAAAGATAAGATGGATCAGGTTATTTAATACATCAATAAAAGGCAACTTTAAACATATTAACGGGGAATGTGCCAGGAACATCAATCATACCTTGGTCTTAATGAAATCAGTTGTTTCAAAGCAAATGGCTATGCTGTGGTTTTATTTAATTATAACCTAGGTTTAAATTTTGCTTCCCTTTGTTTGGGGGTACGGTAATATGAATTTTATGATTATGAGTTCAAAACAAAGAGAATAAAATTCAAACTTAGGATAAAAGTGAACCACAACTGAGCTGCAATATTAAGTGTTGCAAGTATACGTGGGGGAAGTACTTTGAAGTCTTTGGTTGGAAGGTACTTTCTAAAGGCTAGCTGTTAAAATATGCATGGTAAGTATACTTCCTCTGTTTAGCCCTGTGGATGCTTATTTTTTTTCTAGGGGCACTCCTTTAATGTTTTTGCAGAGGGGAGCTCTGCTTCTCTTTAATGAACATTATTTTTACTGTGGAGAAAAATATTTCAAGCTCAGTGTAAAACTGAATGTGTCAGTGACTTAAACCAGTTAATATTGTCAAGCTGCTTTATTAGCTTGATTCAGTAATATTGCAGTGCACCTACCATCAAGCATCACATCATCAATGTTGCAGAGGCTGGCAGCTTATTAGAAGGTGGTTGATAAGCCTTCAAGCAAGCTGTCTGTAGTTTTGGAAATAAAGAGTCTAAGGTCTCACACAAGTGATGGGAGGCAAAAGATTGGAGTGCCGATATGTTTTTCAGTAAACACGCGCAACTGTATGTGTATAGTTTCCACATTACGCTTACTCAATGCATGTAAAATAACACAATAGATCTTGCTACCCATTTTCCCTGATTTTATTTCCCCTCCAGGGGACATAATTTCTTTTAACATATCGGGGTTTTCAAAAAAGGGGCAAGAAGCTTTTAAATGAATTTTAATTCATTTAATGAAGCACTGTATCAAAGAAATTAAAGAGAAGAATCAGACTAGAGTAACAGTAACCCAGAGGGAAGGGGGGGGGTACTCATCAAAGAGGCTCTGCTCCAGGGACCAACCCTTTACCATTTGTATGTACCATTTTAGACAGAAAAGGTACCCCTTTTGTATACCCTCTAGTGACAAATGGTACCCCTTTCACATACCTAATTTTGAACGCTGCATCCCTTTTTAACTGCTGTAAATACACCATCTTTACAAAAACAGGTTTTCTTGTCTGTCACATCCATAAAATGCATCTGTGACTGATCTCATGTTGGTCCCTTTCATATACTTCAACTATAAAAACCCCTTCCCTTTCATGTACCTGAAGCCTGAAAAAGGCTTCAGGCTCTGTTTAGGTCATTATAGTACCCCCTCCTCCTGCACCGAGAACAGTACTTGATACAGCGATATTGTATGGTATGAATTGCGCCAAACGTTTCGTCCCCATGAAGAGGTACTTTGATTATTTTACGACAATTTTCTTCAAAAGGGAGGGGTTTGGGATCTCATTCTTAGGGGGGCGGGGGGTTAATTGAGGATCTGCAGTGAGTGAGAATGTTGCATTCAATGCCATCCAATAGTTTTGATTCAGGAAAGGGTCGTCAGGGGTATTTCGCAGAAAGACAAATGGCCACTGTACGACTTTGAAGCAGTTACTGATTAGGGTGAGGAAAATGAGTGAATTAGGTTCCATTAGGGTCATTATACTGGTCTATACTGGGCAAACTGACCTGAAACAAATTGTTTCACAAAATAATAAAATGATATTATTTTATTTTCATGGATCAGTGAAACACTTCAATATCATGAATGCTTGCAGTGTAGTAGATCTAATAATATTAAAAGCAGAACCAGATTGTTAAAGTAGTCTTACTAATTATGTGATGACGTGGTCAATAACATTTTTCAAAGCAGTCATCTCTATCAAAGGAAATAGAAGAAGTTTGCACACAAGCTACTTGACTACTTCGATGTATGTTATCTATCATGGAAAAGTAGTTAATTGCTTTGTGGGCTAGACTCAGTATAGATTCGCTTGAGTTCCAAATATGGCTGTACATGTGCTTTGAGAGTTTTTGTCCCGATTGGCTTCTTTCAACTGCTGTTGGAGCACATTTTGTTTCCTACGGATAATTGTTTAGTAAAACGCAAAAAGGTGAAAAACGTCATGAAGTTATTACCTCCGTATTATTTCAAGCACCTCATGAGCATATAGTTCAAGTAACGTAACGCCGTTATCGGTTAAGTTTGTTTCGACGGTTCTCTATCATCGATCATCGGCCATATTGGATTTTTATGGAGGTTTCCGCTGACAACTCGTTCCCAGACTTCCGTTCCCCGTTCCCCGCTCCCCGCTCCCCGTTCCCCGTTTTAGTAACATCCGGGATTGACGGCAATATTGTGTGGATTTTACCAACTGAAGTACTGAATTGTTCCGCTCTTGGTACGAGTTGGAACAAGAGTATCTTATTACTAAACTCTAAAAGGTCATTGTTCAAGGTCACAAAAACACAACCTCGAGAGGTTGACAAAAATCATCTCTTAGCTATGCAGCAAAAAAAGATAAGAGAAGGTTTTAAATTTTTTTTCAGTTCCTCAGGCTTTTTTCCCGACCGATGTGACCGATGTCTGAACTTAACCTTCATCACTGAAAGCTTTTAACGCCGTGGATTTCGTTCTTCGGATTCTAGGTACTGGATTTTCCGGAATCTTTGTCAGTGGAACTTTGATTCCGGATTCCGATCGTAAGAGGGATTCTGGATTCCTTGAACTGTATTCCGAATTCCAGTGCCCAGGATTCCAGATATCACCAGCAAAAATTTCTCTGATTCCAGAATCCAGTTTCACTTACATGGGGCGACCTTTACTAGTCTCTTGGAATAGTTTCCTTTCTCCTCACTCCCACTAAACCACCGTCTTAGGATGTTACTACAAATTCTTATCTTTTCATGTTTTCCTTTCTCTAGAAACACCTTGTGCTACCCTATGCCCCAGAGGACCCCTACGAAGAAGATTTCAGCACGGAGGCAATGAACATTATGGACGCCATTTTAAGCCGCATCGGTTTGGATGATGATGGTCTGGGTCCGAACTGATCTTCTACTGAGCGAATCGTTCACAAGTTTCACATGATTGACGTCTGGCATAGGGTCAGAGAAGTTTACCAGGAAGTTGAACAAAACCCGCCTCAGGTAACAACTTACAGTCTTAAAAAAGTGTGTTGACAGTACACTCGTCCTCAAGCGGAAAAGAAGTAAAAGGACATGTTCGATATATTAAAATCGGAATTCTGTTGCGCCATGAAACTGCACCAAGAAAATCGAACTGATTTCGCGCGCTTAAGGCACTGATTATGCGCGTGCGCTTAGCTAACTTATGGGTTCCCTGTGCAATGACGTAGAAAGGGATTTGCAAAGAGTAATGCTAATTTAGTATGACATCATCCATGAAAGCTGTGTTTTCATTCGCAGGATGATCTATGTGAATGTTTATTGGACACCACTTCTAATGGTATCTACCAGGCGGTACACTGGGTAGCTGAACACTATAAATCAGGAACTCCTATTACACTTCTCAACCGACCCATTCCCAAGCTGAAGAACGCAAAATCCTGGAAAGTCTGGAAGAAACGTTTGCTGTACTACTAAAAGCGTCCATCGCTTTACGATAGCAGCCTGTTCTTGTACTGCGCTGCCAAATACTTCTGAGACGGCGGCCGGTTCTGATACTTTCCCCAATTTCTTTCCCATTTGAACGGTAACCCGGAAGATTTCCATATACAGATTCTAAAGAGGCAACAGTGTACTGTTAGTAGGAAAACCAACCCAAATGCATCAAGTGAAATACCACAAAATAAATACAAAATTAATTCGAGACCAACCCGTTCTTCTTCAGTTTGAAGAAACCGGATTATTCATGATCACTTACCACAAGAACGTAGTTTTACGTCACTGACAGCACTGTCCTTTGTTTGTTCTCGCTAAGCGTTTTACCATATAATAATAAAGATTGTATTACTGTTTGGATTTTGAACTGTCTTGAGTTTTTCCCTACCACTACCACACTTTCCAACTACTGAATTCCACACCAATCAACACTCCAGTGAAAGACGACAAAAAGTTCGAAATTTCAGACGTGCTCTTGCCCTAGTCCCGTTAGCGCGGGCGGAGAGACACGAGCTCGGGCCGGGAATGTGCGACATTTCAGACCAAAGGCCTGTATTCAAAGCCCTTTCTCAACTTAAGTGAGGTGCTCTTGAGGAAGGAGCTAGGCTTTTTTGGGGAGGGGGGAGGGGTGGTTTCATCGTGATTTTGGCCCCCTTCACCCAAACGCAGGGCATGTTTTGCAATTCCCTGTAAGGCGTCTTCCCAGGCCTTCTCGGTCAATGCATTTCGATGACGTATCCGAAGACGAATGACCGAAAACTCGCTCGGACACGTGACGTATTGGCCGCGCGGAATAATGAGACCTAGGGACTGTGTGTGAGAGAGTTTTGAATCCAAATGTATGCTAGGTCACCTTCAACCTCCATCAGAAAAAAGCCCATCTAACTTGAGAATGAAGTCTGCTTCATTGAGCGCCATTTTTTGTCAACACTGTGAAAATCCCAATAAAACTTCAAATTAAAAATTTTTTATCAGCCGATTTGTTTTACGTTTATTATGGTGCATCACAATGATTTTTCAATCACGACGACTCTCAGTTACGAGTCTCTGTGTGATGTAGTTTTCAATTGTCTTAAAGGTTTACTGACATAAAACTGGAAAAAAATTCTACATAATACCGTGTTCTTTATTAACAAATCGATCAAAGAAAATCAGCTTTGAATATATCTGATAAAAAAATCACACTAATATACGCAACGCTGCCCCTTTATTATGTTTTGGACTCGCGTTGTTCTAGTGTTCCAAATTCTTCAACTTTATTTCTAAAAAAACTACCTTCCGCGTTACAGCGAAAAAAGTTACAATAAGGACTAATCCAAGCGGCAAATCCAGTTTGACTGGACAAACTGACAAATTTATAATTCCATACCGTTATCTATCTAATCATTCTAGTAGCCTGTTCTAGGCTCCCGAAAAGTGCAACGATCGTGAAATCGTCCCAAGCCGTAAGGGAATCCAGTAGTCTGGATTCCACGCCATGGATTCCAGATTTCACGTACTGGATTCCGGTGCCTTGTCACTGGAACTTGGACTCTGGATTCCAATCGTTGGTGGATTACGGATTCTTTGAGCAGTATTCCGGATTCCAAAGCTCAGGATTCCGGATTCCACTAGACAAGCAAAAATTTTCCGGATTCCGAAATCCGGGTTCCTTTACATAAGGTGAACGAAAACTTGAGCGTCTGTTGACCTTGTTTTCGTAGACTGCCAGCAGTCTCTCTTTTTTTCAGATTTAGTGAGGAGAGTGCACGCGCGCGCGAGCGGCGAGAGACGCGAGAAATGAGGGCAGCAGCCCGAAAAGAAAAATGAACCTCTTTCGTCTCGTGCCTTCAGTCACGCGCGTGGTCATTTGCGTGTCTCGCGCGTTTTGATCGATGGAACAAGAAAAAAGGGAGACTGCTCGTAGTCTATTGTTTTTGCGACGCCGGTATTATCTGAGAACCTAGCAGACGCTATCCTACTGGCGGCAAAAAAGAATTTTACGTTTCTTTTTACATTTTAACTATCTCCTTCTATGCTTGCAGCCTTACTAACGATTTGGATAATAAACAACATCCCTACAATATTCAACGGTGTATAGTCAGCTCGCCTGACATGATTCATCCAATCTAAGTCGATCTCAGCAATATGCGAATATCTGCACATTTTTCAGTAAAAGTTAAGAAAATCTCCGAAGCTGTTCTTTTCGTTCGTTTTTTCTGCGCATCTAACGAATTTCTTCTAAAATGACTCAGATAAAATAAGTTCCTTCGTGAACGAGAGCAGTAAACACAGCATGCTCACTTGCTCTTTACACTAACCCTAAGAAATATAAGCTCAAAAGCCCGCGGAAGCCATTCTAGAATTTAATTCCTCATATCGAATACTGAAATATGTTTGAATTCATAAGAAGGTTGGTACAAAATTCGGGTCGATCGTTATTATCTATAACGAATCAATTAATTCTATTTTCTAGGCCGATATTGCTCTCAACCCCCAACTACTCTCCGTACCATTCTTTCTGAAACTTCCCTGGTTACATTCTGTTTTTCCAGCAGTTGAACTTGTGGACCAGCTGCTTCCTCTATGTTGACGTCACCTGGACTTCCTGATGCAATGGCCAAATCCGCTTGCCGCATTTTTTTCACTTCTCTTTGCCATGTTTTGCAGGCACCATCAATGCTGTTGTCCAATGAAAACTTACTTGCTAACTTGGAGCTTGGACCAATGGTTGATCCATTAATTGCTATGAGGTTAACATGCAAAGATCTTTTAGTGAGCTCTTCTTGAACTTTGGTAAGCAGCTCTTCCAAGACCACGTCTCCGTCGTTCATCTCGATTTCGTCAAGAATAATATCATGAGCTGTACCAAAGAGACGCTCCATAGATTTATCCACCTCAACGATATAGGAAATTATCTATAAGCAAAACACCAAAAACGTTTTTAACGTAAGTTATATTTATTCCTCAATTTCATCTTGCGGTAAAAGGCGTGATAGCACCTCCACCCTCAAAACTCAGTTCTAAAGATCAACCCAGGTGACGCAGGGTTTGAGCTAGGATTTGATCACTGGGGGACAATTTGTCCCCTTGGCTAAATTTTTGGGGGACATTTTCATTTTTAGGGGGACAGAAATTTGTACACCCTTCTGCTGATGCAAAGGGGTTTGTCTTCTTAGCAGGGCTTCTGATAGGTCTCGGAAGAAAAAGTGAAATTTCGCGGGATTTTTAGGGACAAATTCGCGGAAAAATCGGCCGATTGCGCGGGAGTTTTCGAGGCAAACTTCACCGAAAAGCAATCGGTAAAAAACGGCCGATTTTGTGGTTATTTTCAAGGCAAATTTCGCTAGAAATCGATCGGTTTTGCGCTGATCAGACCAGCCTTTTTAACGTTTTTCTAACAGAGCTCATCATTTGCTCTTTCAGCAACAATACGCTCCAGAAATGAACCAATGGCAAAGCCTTTAACATCATGGCTAGTGCCCAGTTTTTCGCAACATAATCTGTTTGCATGTTTCAATGACAAAGTTCCAAGATAAATTTGCAAGTTTACGGCAAGTAAATAGCCCCTATAGCTGAAATAAGTTTCAAATATGTTTTACAGACATGTATTTGATAAGATTTCTACCGAATTTCGCGGTATTTTTCGTGTTTTTGTGAATTTCGCGGCTCCGCGACCGCGCGAAGAATCAGAAGCCCTGTCTTAGATTTCCGACAAAAATAGCAGTAGAGTGTGACTGAAGCGTAACTTTGGAATGAACTTTAAAGGTGCGATAAAATATACTTTCCACGTTCTGTTTCAGCTTGCAATTTCTGTACTGAAATAAATCTCTTCGTGTGTGCTTCCTTTCGAGTTTTTTCCCTAAATTTTGAAGGGGACAAATTGTCCCCTTGGCCGTTTTTTAAAGGGACAATTCCAATTGCAGTGAGGGATTGGCGCAATGGCGCGGCCTGGCTCAAACCCTGGTGACGTAACGTCCAATAAAATCCACTGAAATGCTTTCCTCTATTTCAGATCCTTCAGAACAAGAAGCGATAGTCTATACTTCGAATCAAAGCTGTAGCAAAATGACTGGTTTGTCTAGCCAGTTCTGACAGACTCTTGGTTAAACCTCTTTGAGTTAGGATAAAACATGCCAGTGACAGTTGGGCTTACCAGTCGTTTCGCTGCAAAATGAAGTCGATTCGCAGCAAAGTCGTTTCGCTGTATCACGTTCAGATGGCGCTGAAATTGACCTTTTGTATAAAACCGTTCAAGACACATAAAATTAACTAAAAACGAATAATACGGACGAGTTAATTACCATTTCACTGAGTTAATCATCGAACAAACACCAGCAAACTTTAGAGCAGTTTTCAACTTTGTGATGCAGCGAAACGACTTTAAAACTTCGCCGCGAATCGCATTGTAGCGAAACGAGCGGACACCGGTATTGGGCAAGGGTCATTCAGATATCTAGCGACATCCACATATAACCGTTTTTCAGTCATCTCGCTTACCAGTATGGTTAACTCGCCTTCAGTCTATAATCTAGTATTAAAATAATATCGAACAAAACGAACCCTAGGACACAAACAGTTAATAATTCCTTTTTGTTAAGCGTTCCAGGCAAGAAGAGTCAGCAAGGCGAAGAGTATTTTCTTTTTCGAACGCAAGGAGTAAACAAAACCGCGGTCTACCATACCAAAGTGCGTGTGTTCGATCACACTGTACGGTATGAATGGAAAGAAAGAGATATATAAAATTCTCAAGCCTCATTAGGTCGATGGAAAAAGATTTCTTCACCGAAAACTAACTTTGAAAAACTTTCCGTCGAGCAGAAATCAAAACGCCGCACATGCGCAGACGTGTGTCACAGGCTCTTTAAAATTTACCGCAATTGCATTCTTAGGCATGAGAATTACCTCAGAAACAAGCTTGACACTTTCGCTGTAGATAAACTGCCCGCCAGTCATCAGGGAAATTCCTGTAAAAAACTCTGCCATGAGATCAATACGTCGTCCAGAATTTCGAAGATAGGGAGGTATTCCTGGCTTTGAACTCCTGCACAACACCACGTAAAGTGTAACGGCATTCGCAGCAAGTTGTCTACAAAGGCTTAAGACATCATGGCCATTGGCACATGTACATTTGAAAATATCAAGAGTACCAACTTGAACTTCTAAAGCTGTAATTGCAAATAACAATGATCATTATCACTGCCCCTTCCATGGGTTTTTCAATTTTCGACTGGGACCATTCGTCATCACGACTGGAACAAACCCCTTACAATCAGTAATGTTGCCAACGTTTAAAGTTGTTTAAAACTCACGAAGATATAGGTCCAAAAGGCCTCGAAATTTTACAGCCGTTTCTATGGTGGGGGGCGGGGGCAAGTTCGTGCCTCCCATCATACAAACGTCTGTAAAATTCTGCGACTTTGTGGAGAAATATCTTCGCTCGCTTTGGACGTATAACATTTAAACTTGGTAAGTTTCCTAACTTTAAGGCTTTCTTTCCAGCAGCGTTGATAGATATTCGTTTACAGGTCTTTATCAAAACTTGGAAAAAGGATTCATTGACAACTGAAGGGGTCACGTTCTGGAATAGAGCTCCCAAGTGACTTTTGATAAACCACTAGTAGATTTTCCTTGTCTTGTAACTCGAAAGGAGCAGATATTAGATCAGGAGTAAAGGGCGTCATTTCATATTATCAAACTCCATGAAAAGCAATACATGTCAAAAGTAGATTGGGTTTGATCGTCCTGGTGAACGTAGTCCTGAATAGGACTGTTGTTGTTACCCTGGGTGCCAGAGACTTTTCTAGCGCAGTTTCCGGTTTCTGTCAAGTCTTTATAGTGACCCGCCCGATAAGTTTTTTCTCGCGGCTTCGCCGCTCGTGGCTTCGGCCTATGGCCGAAGATGTGTCGGCCTTCGGCCAACACCGAAAATTCCCGCAATACGCGAGAAAAACCTCTGGTACCCAGGGTATGTTGTTGTTGACAGTGACTGACGTTTCGACAACCCGTGCGGTAGTCATCTTCAGAGTCAAATGTACTGTATCTTCTTCAGGGTTTTTGTCAAAATCCCCTGCCTACATCACACCTTTTCAGTATATTAACTCTCTATAAACCAGGCATTGTCCTCACCAGAACTGGAGGATATTACATGGCCGAGTGGAGATAAGAAATTTCTGTTCGAGAGTTGGAAAAAAAACATAAACATAAACATACACTCGAAGAGAAATTTTGTGCATGTACCTCCAAGCGGACATGTAATATGTTCTAATTACACTGTATTATAAAAGAGGAACAATTCACTTAAATATTTTTTTGCTGCAGAAGGCGTGATTTAGTGTAACTGTAGCAACAGTGATCATTTCATGTGTGAATATAACATGGTCCTTTCACATAACGTGTTGAAAGTCTTAGTAATTTTTTCCCATTGCAAACAAGCATACTCACGCAGCAGTACACAGACTTTGAGGGCTTCTCGGCGGCATTTATAATCATTGTTACAATCATCATCATCATTATTGCTTAGGTGCACAGCCAAAGCCAGTCCGTCAGCCAGGCCTCTCCTAGAGCCACTGTTACCAAAACACCTCAAGCTGTTGATGTTTTCTTTCATTTTTGATTTGTCATCCGTGAAGTTAACAACTACAGCTATGTTGGAACCAGATGTAGTTTGGCCTCTTCGTCCAATATTGGGATGATTTTGGTAACTGATTATTGCCAGACGGAAATGGACACTTCTTCCCGAGATGACATTCACCATATGCTTTAGCTCTGTCTTGAGCTTCCCAAGAATGGCAGGATTTGTGGTAGCACAGTCCACAACAACTATCAAATCTAACTTTTGATCATAATGCAAACAAGGACGTACATGATGTGACACATCTATAAATAGAAAGATTACAATAGGTCAGTCTTATTTTCAAAAACTGAGAAGGTTGATTTACTAATCCATGGAGGTAGTATTAAAATTTTGCCTTCTACAGTTTGGCGAACTTCAGAAGCTACAATTTACCATCAGGAACAAAAGGCAGCATAGTGCTTGACTTACAAATGATGCTTTGGACAGTTTTGACTTTTTTTTGCAAGTACGGTTGACCAGAAAACAACTCAAGAAACTTTCAGCGACACTTTATGAAATGATTTCCATGGATTAATGAGTTACGCACAGTACATGTACCCAGTTTGATAGAGATATCTACTTTTGAGCTACATGTAACCTTACTGTGAAAACAACAAAACAGTCACCACTGGGGCCTAGTTTTTCGAAAGATGGATAATGCTATCCACTGAATAAATCACTATCCAGTGGATAATGCAATAATGTATTAGTTTCTCTAATACTTCTCTGCTGGATGGTGATTTATCCACTGGATAACACTATCCAATGTTTGAACAACTGGAGCCAGAAATATTTCTGGAATGCTATTGTGGTTCAAGAAAAAAGCCAATCAGACATTAAAAAAACCGAACTGCCAGCAATGAGATTATAATTAGTTTGTGGTTTTGTGGCTTGAGCTCATGTGTTGTGATCTTTGCTGTGATTTTCAGAACATAATAAAGGTTCCAGAAATATTTTACGTGTGCACAGTTTTGGTAGTTGGCAGTAAAACAAACAAAGCTGCTCATAAAATACTAAACTGGTTAAGAAAGACAGCAAAAGATGAATTTTAGTTTTTTTGATTAACTGAACCACCCATAAACAATCTCTGTGGCCACTCCTCATCCGTTGTACCACTACCTCTTCTAGTCCTAAAGGTCATAGATAACTTTATAACTTTGAGTATGTACAAACAATTACAAAGTGGTAGAGTTACCAGAGGCTACATTTCTGACAAAAAAGGTAAAAGGTTATTTTCTCTATCACAAAAAAATGATTATTGTATCATGAGGGTATACATGTAACAACATCCTTCTATTCCAACCAAATACCAATGTTTAAAAAATACTGTAAGTCTCCAAAGATAAGAATTTTGCAGTGTCTTAGTTATTATGTCATAAGATTTCTAATAGATCACTATTGCTCCCAGATATCCTGTCAAGTCAGGGCTTAAATTTCACTAAATGCCTTGCAGGCTTATTATAATTTCCGAATTTGCTCAAAGTTGAATACGTTAAACTGGTGGCAAGACTGATTAACAGTTTAGTTGTGCTGGTTCTACTTTCCTCAAACAAGAATTTTTGTATCAACTGATCAGTTATAAAACTGCAGGATAAAATTAATGGGCAACTAGACAAGGAGAAATTTCAGCCATTTACGAACATCAGGGATCAATAGTGCGTGGTCAGCTGTGACTTGGGATCAAGAAGTCCATTGGCAAAAACAAGATCAGGGAGGAAACTTTCCCTCTCCACCCTCTGTACTAAGGTGACAATAGCTTAATGTACAGCTGTTACAAGGAAGGAAGGAAGCATCCTACCTTGTGAGCATGAAAGATTAGCCTCTGCAATGGATGTTGGAACAGAACGTGTAATTGGTGACTGCATATGGATCTCAGACTTGTCACCAATTTTTACAGCTCTGACACCACATTGGGCAAGCCATGGTTCCTTTTCTAAGGCATTCAGACAGAGTTTATCCACCACTTCTCTTCTATTAGGCAGTTCAAACATTAGGTTAAACCAATTTGAAGCAACTTCTTCACACTTTATGAAGTGGCATTCACTAGGGTCAATGCAGAGAACAAGGCTCATGCTGTTTGTCAGTACACCCACAGTGTCTGGTACAATGAAGTGTTGTCTTTGAGATGAAAACGAGAAACAAACCTTTTCCGTAGCTGCAAATAAAATACATCATCAAATGCCACGTCTGTATGATCTTTAAACAATCGTAAAGGCTGGCGTAATATCTCGAAGAAAAATGTTATCATTTGTAAACAAATAAATAAATAATAGTAAAAGTAGGTTTTTATGGTGCATTTAAAGAATTCTCAATGTGTTTACAATAGTAAATAAAGTCGAAATGAAACTGTGTATAGTAATTATTCCTAAAAAGAAAAGTTTTCAAACTGTGCTTAAAAGTAGAAACAGATTCAGAGTTTTTGATATGATTATTATCATTACATAAAATGAAAATGAGCAGTGTCCTTAAGCCACGGTATAAACAGAAGGAACTTGTAAAAGCAATCTATTAGATGAGCAGAGTAAACAAGACGGCTGGTATTTGAGAAGGAGTGAAGGCAAATAGTAAGGAGCGATATTTCGCGTGGTCGAGGAGCTGCAAAATTCAGGTAAATCCATGAAATCCCGCAAAATTCACAAAAACACGCAAAATACCGTGAAATTTAGTAGAAATCTTATCAAATACATGTCTGTACAGCAATTTTGAAACTTGTCTCAGCTACTGGGGGTATTTACTTGCCGTAAACTCGCAAATTTATGTCAAAACTTCGTCACTAAAATGTGTAAACAACGTTCCAAAACTACCAAACGTAGATTATGTTGCGAAAAAATGGGCACTAGCCATGATGTTAAAGGCTTTGCCATTGGTTCACTTCTGGAGTGTATTGTTGTTGAAAGAGCAAATGATGACCTCTGTTAGAAAAACATTAAAAACGCTGGTCTGATCAGCGCAAAACCGATCGATTTCTAGTGAAATTTGCCCTGAAAATAACCACAAAATCCTCCGTTTTTACCGATTGCTTTCCCGCCAAGTTTGCCCCGAAAATTCCCCCTAAATTCCCACCAAATCGGCCCATTTTTCCACGATTTTGTCCCTCACAATCCCATGAAATTTGACTTTTTTCCCGTGACCTATGAGAAGCCCTGTAAATCCTTTAAAATTTTAAATCTTAAAATCAATTCATACGCCAATAGGAAGCCAGGGCAAGTCTTTCACGACAGGAGTTATATGGTCAGATCTTCTTATTCCTAAAACCAAGCATGCGGCACAGTTCTGAACACGTTGTAGCTTGTCTATATCTCGCTTGGGTAAGCCACAGTATAAACTGTTACAATAATCCAAGCATGACATAACAAAAGCAGAGACCATCATCTTAAGGTGATCCTTGCTCACATACTTCCTCAATCTGCCAATGAATCGAATCGCTAGCATAGCCTTTCTGCATATTTCATTAATATGATGACTAAGATTGAGCTCTCTATCTAGGTTTACACCAAGATTACAAACTTGGTCTGATGGTTGTACTCTAGCATTGCCAATCAAAAAAATCACTGAGAATTGGGTTCTTGATGAAACGAGGACTAAATTGAATGACCTCTGTTTTACTAGGATTGCACACTAACTTATTGATGGTGTTCCATTCTATGATTTCACTGATACACTTCTGAAGGGTGTTGAGAGCAGAACGTTGATCATGAGGGTCAATAGTTATGTAGAGTTGAGAGTCATCTGTGCAGAACATACAATCGAGGTTATGAGCAGAGATTATGTCTTGAATAGGTGCTGTATAAAGAAAAAACAAGAGATGACCGCGTATCGAACCTTGCGGAACTCCACATTCTAATCTCTGACTGCTAGATATTGTTTTACCAATACTAACATATTGTATCTGACCAGTAAGATATGACGAAAACCATCTTAGCACTGTGTGGGAAAAACCGAAGTATCTACTCAGCCCTGTCCAACAGTATAGTATGGTCTAGGGTGTTAAATGCAGCTGACAAATCAAGCACGACTAAAACAACGTCTTGCCGACAATTAACAGTCCTAAGAATTTCATTCATTAGTGGCAGAAGGGCAGTCTCGGTCAAGTGATGTTTACGATAAACGGATTGCATAGAAGGCATTAATAGATTATCCTCCAAGTATGAATGTGTCTGAACCGTGACAACCTTCTCAATGACTTTTACTAGGAAAGGTATATTGGCTACAGGTTGGTAATTTTTTAAAACATCCTTGTTAACACCTGGCTTCTTCAGGACTGGCCGAATCAAAAATCGTTTAAGCGCAGAAGGAATTCACCAGAGGTTAAAGATTCATTAACAACAGCTGTTATATAAAAAAGCATTTTGATCAGTCTACAAATAACCTGAATCACATTCTGAAATGCCAATAGTGAATACCATAGCCTGCATAGCTGCCAGTTTTTTGGCATTTTTCTTTGTGTGGTTTGGAAAGTAAAAGATACAGCCACATGAGTGCTGAACAGAGGTTGAACCAGGAAACAATGGGGGAGGGGGCAAGAAGGCAATGAGAGAAACAGCAAACAATTTAGCCCTTGAGACTTTTAAAATGCCCGTTCAAGACTTGTGAAAGGGGACATGTTTTGAAGTCTGATGTGAGCCGATAAACTGTCACACCAAAGATTGTTGTTATGACTGTTAATGAATGTTATGTTGATAAGTTATTGATTGCATAATTTAAATTCTCTATGAACAATCGGTGTATCTGTTGTGGTTAAATTTTATCCTTCGTTTAAATTTTATTTCCCTGTGGTTTGAATCATTATCATTCGTTACCAACCAGTAACATACCTATACACGAAAACAAAGGGAAATAAAATCTAACCCAAGGATAAAATTGAACAGAACTACAACATTTCAGAGGTTTGAATAGAAGGCGGCTATCGGCGATGGACCGCCGCCTACTTTGCTTTATCCTGCCACCTACTTCGGACAATCAATTGAATGTTTTGGACTGATTGCATGTCATCATTACTAACCAGGAATTTTAATTCCTAAATCTCCGAATTATAGCAATTTTGTTTGAAAAAAATTACTGAGTTCATATACAAATTCGAGCAAATTAGAGAGGGTTACCGTAACAAATTAATGAAAGTCGCATCTACTATCGCATCAAGTTGCAACCAGGAATTCCCTGTCACAGTTGTTATGTAACATTTGCATGACACTCCACGTGAACTCAAAGCACTTGCTTCACCTGTTTTGACTGAAATGTCAGCGAAAAGGCAAGGCGTTCTTGAAAATTTTTTCGCCGTCGTGTCAAAGGAATCAAAAGGGTCACAAGTTATTAGTAATTTTATAATTCAGCTTTTTAACATAATAGATTTGCTTAGAGTGATGTAAATAAGATAGCACTTTGCATTTCAAAACAGTCAGCGACCTTTGAACTCACAGAATGATGTCATGAGACCAGCGAAGTTTGTTTTTAAAATTTTCTTTGTCTGCAGAATAATTTGGTTGTGGAAGCAACTTCATTAATAAACATTTTAATGACAAGGTGGTTAATAAAATGCTAAATGGAGAAAACAACACTAACAGTGACTCATGTTCCTGCCGCTCTTTTTCCTCAACTCTTTTACAAATTGTTCCGGTTAAAATTTTAGGTAAAAATCTCATGGTTCTTAATCATGAAATATTTTTCTTGCTAGTATTTTATGGTATAAAGTGTTTATGAATTTTGGGTATTTTTGAACTTTCTTAATTAAGTAGCGAACCTTGTCCATTATTTTCCATTCATTCTCGAAACGTTGGAGGGGCTCGTTATCCGTAAGTCTCATCACTCCACTTCAATAAAAGTACATAAAATAAGAAGCATAAAAAATTCAACACGAAAAGAAATCTGAAGGTTGGCAAATTCTCTTGAATAATTTTACTTTTATTATGCCTACAACTTTTAGTTTTCACGATTACATTTGTGTTCCACTAGAACTGACTTTTCTTTTTTTTTCCAACCTGTACAATGGAAAGTCACAATTGTATCAGTTCCCTTCCATTTTGATAAATTTTCACAGTGCAAAAATCGAGTTCTACGGCCGACCCACCTGCTAATTCGGATGAGATTGAACAGTAGAGCCTTAAACTTCAAACCTGTTGAATTTGTGTGAACCTTGCAAATAATAATCTAAATGGTAACAAGACGCTGTGGGAGCGTATATTTGGGCGTGGTCGTAATATCGGTATGATACTTTGAACATGCCTTATTGCAGCTAAAGAACTGTCATCATACAGGGGCACCCAACGGGAATATAGTTCAAAACCACTTAAACATAGCATTGTTTTAAACGTATTTTAGTATTTAAATGATAGATATAGGCATACTTTGATCCCCTGAAAGTTTTTCATCTGTTCAGATTTCCTAGCTGAAAGTCTACTGATCTGAAAATTATAGGGATCAAAACTTACCTTTCGAAAATTTCAGCCAGAAAAAAGGCTCGAAAAAAACTCTAGGTAACCTTTTTAGGGTAAAAATCCATTGAAAATGGGCAATTATACCATTTTAGATGTTCGAAAATTCTAGAAGAGGCAGGCAAGCAAGAAATTTTACAACAAATGTTCTGAAAATTCTAGATCTCAAATCGTCTTCAAGAGATATTTTCCAAAAATTGACGTTGGGTTCCCCTGATCATATCTTATCCACAACAAAAATAGTGTCATTTCATGACAATGTTTCAAAATATGCACATCTTCAATGCAGACATGTTTGGAGCCAAATTGCAACATAGGACATCACTGGTTACAGCCTGGAGAATAAGGTTTATCTCAGCTCCACTGATACTGACACTTTGAGGAAGATTGACTGACAGACGTGTTTTCACACCCATCACATTCTACAGTGTATTCCGGTTACTAACAAGGGCAAAAAAAGTTCCTTAAGTCCAGTATCCACAAGGATTAATAAGAGAGTAGCACATCGCATAAACTGCTATAGAGCAGCACTGTTTACAGGAACATTGGTAACTATTAACATTTGATATACTACAATGTTCAACATTGTTTGAGAAAAGATGAGGTTCAAAGGTGGCAATATGTACACCTTTAAGTTCATATATATCCTCATTCCTATGTAGAGTCTAAAAATATTGTACTAATTTATGCATGGATGGTATTCCAACAATACACATGTCCCTTCACTATGACTGTTATGATACATATCTTTAGTATATACACACTCAGTGATCTTGGTGATTTAAGCAATCAGATTGGTTCGCTATCTCGGACTATTCAACCATATTCACCTCCTAGTGAGTGGATAATGTGTCAGCTGGGTGTTTTTTCCATATTTTTCGAGATCGATCTTTTAAAAGTCGACAAAATCCAAGGGCTGACTTTTTTTGAGGCAAGAAAAGACTTGGAAGAATTCAATACGGCATTTTTCAATTTACTGTAGCTGAGTTTTGTGGTTGATGGATTGTTTACAAATCTCGTGTATTCGTGTAGAAGAAGCCGTTTTGTGAACTCAGCGTTTTCTAACAAGAAAATTTTGGCTCAAAAATCGAAGTTTATTTATGACAAACAAATTTAAAAGGAAATGTTGGCAGAAATTCTACATTTCAAGTAAACAGGAAAAAGAATGATACAGGAAGATGACGTCTTACCTCGAGCAACCGAGCCGCCATTTTTGTCAGCACTTCATGGGAAGAACGACACAACAAACCCTTTTGGCTATAAACTTGCATTGGCGAGTCAACAGAAAACAACAAAGCTCTACTTTTCTTCTCAGGTAAGGAAACTTTTAGTGGTTCCATTTAAGCCATTACGCTGTTGTTTGCAAAATGATAAACTTGTGAATTACCATGTTTGAAAATTCTGCAAAGATCTATTTTAAACTTACGCGTGATTTGATCTGTCAATCAAATCGTACTTTTTAATGGTTTCCTCACTGATTTTGTTGAGATCACTTCGTGTGTATATACTAAAACAATTATTCTTTTCAATCTCGGTGAATAACGGGTTTGGGAATATTTCGCGGCTCGGTAAATATTTAGCCACTATTCACCTCGATTTCAAAGAATAATTGTTAACTAGCATGAGAATCAAATACATTATATCTGCCAGCCTCAATGCTGTAGATACCAACACCAGTAATTGCCACCATTAAAATGAATGAGTTGTAGTTGTGCACTTTAATTTACAGTAAGATAACAAAGATTACTTCAGTTGATCATGTGACTCAACTCATTGGATTATCCACTCGACCTAACAAAATCAACCAATCACAAAATAATGAAAACAAAATGGACATAAAATAAAAAAAAGCAAACTCAGATGACCTGTTAGGAAACATGCAATTAAAACTGTCATCCTATGATTGGTACATTTCGATCCTCTCATCAAAAAAATGTCAGACGCCAGTTATCTTAGCGGACCTCTTAGGAAAAGAAAGTTTTCTTCAATGGGTTCAAAAGGTCATTGTTTGTGATTTGTGATTGGTGGATTTCGATCCGTTTTTCCAATGTTTGTTGCTTGTGATCTTATTGTGACCAAAACCCGACATTAATATTCCAAATATTTTTGATAGACTTCATCCCTGGACTTCAGACTTCCAAATTTCAATGAGGCAAAAATACTGAGGATTCAGATAAACTGTTGAGATCGTAAAAGGGGGATAAATTGCCGTGTGCTAGCAGACCTTTCTTTCCCACATGCCTCTTACCTTGTACAAGACGTTCACATGGCAGACATTCGCCTCGCTTCACTTGTTTAGTTCCCTTGTTTATGTTAGCACGTATTGCGTGCCTATTGCACATTTGCACCAAAACAAGCCGTTTCCATTACTCTATTTGGGCCGCACCCAAATAATAAACATCCAATCTCTGTTATATGTGGACCGTTTTATGCCTCGTTTCCCTTGCCTTTTTAGAGGAAAATACCTCTTGGAAAATGCTGGAAATGGCATTTCTGAGTGTCTAGGTTTCAAAATTTTCTGGGAGACCGTGCCCCCAGACCCCCCTAGACGCCTACTTTTCCAACACAACCTGCTACTCAAAAACTTACTGAAAGCCCTGCATATACATAATTAATTATCCCATAGTTACCTGGATATCCGCTGTCCATTTCCATTGTTGGTTGCCGTTTAAAATCTTTAACAATCTCTACAAGATCTGATCGCTGAGCTACCGTTAAAAGCTCCTCGAGGAAATCTAAATTATTGTTTCTGCTTCATACACTTAAACAGTTTCCTTGGTGTTGTGAATTTTTCCAAAGTGCCAGCCGGAATATGCTTTTCAAGCAAGAATTTCAAACTTTTCAGCTGTTCTTCTCCAATTTCCTGTGAAAGTCGCTCCAAGAACGTTTGGAAAGGATCAAAAGAGCTCTCCGACAACTAGCGGTAGCCATGGTCGAGTAACATAACCCGATCCCAGAAGAAGAATTCGTAGCTTCATTTAGCTTTCGACTCTTACCTAGAACATGGTTACTTTTGAGCTGTTTTCAATATTATATCGAGTCTCTCCGAAGTCGTAGCAAGGCGACAGACATACTCAAGCTTAAACTAAACTCAAGCTACGAGTAGAAGAAGCTTTATTTGTACGCGGCGCGGGATGCACTCTGTGAAGAAGGTTGCTCTGGGAGCCTGGTAAAGAGAGGGGAGGGAAGGTAAAAATGGCTTACCAAGGGGGTACGGGGTAGTACGGGGATAGGTTAATCCTTGTTTTGCATGAACTTTTTACCTCATAAACATATGCATGACATTATGTGATAAAGCAAATAAATTGAAATCTCAAACTGCTCAAATTAACCAGCTCTTTCAACTTTTGAACCTTGTTTGTATATATGGCGATGCAACCTCGTCCCCAGGGCTTTTCCCTTAAAAAATGGGTGGGGCGGGAAAAGGCCCTGGCATCGGCTGGTCACGTGCACAGCCTAAATATTCTTGAGAAGCTAATTTATATGCAACCCGCTGGTTTTGCGCTGACAGAAGTCGAACGGAGCAACAATGGAAAATAATAATATCGCGAACTGTATGTCAATATTTTCGCGTCTGTGCGATTCAAAAGCTTAAGATCCATTTAATTGCGTATTATTCAAATGCTACAAGTACCGGGTCTACGTTGTCACGTACAAAATATGTCAAATGCTTCAGAGTTGAGACAAGCTGTTATCGAGTAGTACTTCCTCTGAAATTCATCGTGACTGTGGAATTACTTGATCAAGCAGAAAGTGATTTTGTCCAATGTCAAACAAAAATGCGGGCCTTTGCCTCTATGATCTGCAGTGAATTTAAACAAATTGGACTTAGAATTGTTCATCAAAATACTTTATGGAGTCTGGTCTTCTCTACAACCCGACCATGAAACAAACAAATTTCAGACGTGTTCTCGCCCTAGTCCCGTTAGCGCAGGCGAGGAGACACGAGTCCCCCAAACGCTGAGCCTGTTTTGTAAGTCCCTGTACGGCGTCTTCAGAGGCCATTTCGGTGACGTATCCAAGACCAACGGCCGAAAGTTCGCTCGGACCACGTGACCCGAAACGCATTGGCCGCCCGGCAGTAATAAGACCTAGGGACTATAGGCAAGAGCCTTTTTCACAACGTATTTCTCAGTAGTCCTCAGTATACAGGTTTATAATCTGTAATTTCAGTGTGAGAGAGGGTTCTGAATCCAAATGTATGTAAGGTCAGCTTCCACCTCCATCAGAAAAAAGCCCATCTAACATGAGAATGAAGTCTTCTTCATTGAGAGCAATATTTTTAGTGACACTTTGAAAATCCTAATAAAACTTAAATCAACAATTAAATATCTTTTTATCCGGCACACCGTTTTACGTTTATTCTGGTGCATCGCAATGATTTCTAATAACGGCGACTCTCAGTTATGAATCTCTACCTGATGTAGTTTTCAATTCTCTTATGGTTTACATAAAACTGGAAAACATTCAGCATAATACCGTGTCCTTTATTAACAAACCGATCAATCAAAATCAGTTTTGGATATTTCTGACAAGAAAATCAAACTCATAGACCCAACACTGTCCCCATTTAACAAGCTAAAATGACGTTGCTGTACTCGCGTTTTTCTATTATTCCAAATTCTTCAACTTAATTTCTAAAAAATTACCTTCCGCGTTACAGCGAAAAATTACAAAATATGTGCTTCTACAACAAGAAAATAAATTGACAAACTGATAAATTGATAATTTCACAGCGTTATCTATCTAATCATTCTAGTAGCCTGTTCTAAGCTCCCGGAAAGTACAGAGATTGTGAAATCTTCGCCCCATGCGAGGGAATCCAACAGAGCTAGTCGTATAGTCTGGATTCAGGTACTGGATTCCGGATCCTTTGTCACTGGAACTTGGATACCGGATTCCAATCGTTGGTGAGATTACGGATTCCTTATGCTGTATTCCGGAATCCAAAACCCAGGATTCCGGATTCGACACGCAAAAATTTCCCGGATTCCGAAATCCGGATTCCTTTACATGGGGTGAATGAAAACTTGAGCGTCTGTTGACCTTGTTTTCGTAGACTGCCAGCAGTCTCTCTTTTTGTCAGATTTAGTGAGGGGAGTGCACGTGCGGGCGAGCGGCAAGAGACGCAAGAAACGAGGGCGGCAGCCCGAAAAGAAAAATGAACCTCTTTCGTCTCGCGCCTTCAGCCACCCACGTGGTCATTTGCGTGTCTCGCGCGTTTTGATCGATGGAACAAGAAAAAAGGGAGACTGCTCGTAGTCTATTGTTTTGGCGACGCCGGTATTATATGAAAACCTAGCAAAGGCTATCCTACTGGCGGCAAAAAAGAATTCTAAGTTTCTTTTTACAATTTAACTATCTTCTGATATTAAAATATCTGCTAGTAGGCTTGCAGCCTTACTACCTATTTGGATAATAAGCAACATCCCTACAATATTCAACGATTTATTGTCAGCTCGGTTGACATGATTCACGCAATGTAAGTCTAAGCAACATGCGAATATCTGCACATTTTTTTAGTAAAAGGTAAGAACAACTCCGAAGCTGTTATTTTCGTTTGTTTTGTCTGTGTATCTAACGAATTTCTTCTAAAATGACTCAGATAAAATAAGTTCGTTCGTGAACGGGAGCAGTAAACACAGCATGCTCACTTCCTCTTTACACTAACGCTAAGAAATATAAGCTTAAAAGACCGGAGAAGCCATGCTAGAGTTTAATTCCTCATATTGAGTATTGAAATAAGTTTGAATTTATAAAAAGGTTGGTACAAAATTTGGGTCGATCGTTATTATCTATAACGAATCAATTAATTCTATATTCTAGGCCGATATTGCTCTCTACGCACAACTACTCTCCGTATCATTCTTTCTGCAACTTCCCTGGTTACATTCCGTCTTTCCATCAGTTGAACTTGCGGACCAGCTACTTCCTCCATGTTGACGTCACCTGGAGTTCCTGATGCAATGGCCAAATCCATGTCCCGCATTTTTTGCACTTCTCTTTGCCATGTTTTGCAGGCAGTGTCCATGCTGTCGTCCAATGAAAACTTGCTTGCTAACTTGGAGCTTGGACCAATGGTTGATCCATTAATTGCTATGAGGTTAGCATGCAAAGACCGTCTAGTGAGCCCTTTTTGAAGTTTGGGAAGCAGCTCTTCCAAGTCCACGTCTCCGTCGTTCATCTCGATTTCGTCAAGAATAATATCATGAGCTGTACCAAAGAGGCGCTCCACAGATTTATTCACCTCAACGACATAGGAAATTATCTATAAGCAAAACACCAAAAACGTTTTTACCGTAGGTTATACTTATTCCGCAAGATGAATGTTTTTTTGAAACTTTCATCTTGCGGTAACAGTCGTGGTAGCACCTCCGCCCTCAAAACTCAGTTATAAACATCAACCCGGGTGACGTCACGTCCAATAAAATCCACTGAAAATGCCTTCCTATATTACAGAACTCACCTTTACCAACGCCATATTCCACGACAGATCGTTCAGAACAAGAAGCGATAGTCTACACTGCGAATCGAAGCTGTAGCAAAATGACCGGTTTGTCCAGCCAGTTCTGACAGACTCTCGGTTAAACCTCCTTATGTTTAGGATAAAATATGCCAGTGACTGAATCGGTATTGGCCGGTAAGGGTCATTTCAGAGATCTACATGTGGCCTGGTAGCAACATCCACATACAGTGGCGGATCCAGGGGAGGGGCTCGGGTGCCCCCCCCCCCCCTTATTTTTAGACCAAACTAAGGCCCAAAGGACCGAAAAAAAAAATTTTTTTGAGACCGGACCCTCCCCCTTATCTCAGGATCTGGATGACCGGGCCCCCCTCATCTGGAGGTCTAGATCCGCCACTGACATATAAAAGTTTTTCAGTCATCTTCCTTACCAGTATGGTTAACTCGCCTACATTCTATAATCTAGTAAATAATATCGAACGAAACGAACCCTAGGAAACAAACAGTTGTTAATTCCTTTTTGTTAAACGTTCCCGCCAAGACGAGTCAGTAAGGCGAACTGACCGCAGTAGTAGAGTATTTTCATTTCCGAGCGCAAGCAGTAAACAAAAGCGCAGTCTTTCATACCAAAGTTCGTGTGCTCGATCACATTTACAGTATGAATTGTGCAAAAAAAGTGATATATAAAATACTCAAGCGTCATTAGGTCGATGGAAAAAGATTTCTTCACCGAAAACCAACTTTTCCACCCACCAGAAATCAAAACGCTGCACATGCGCAGCCGCTTGTCACAGGTTCTTTAAGATTAAACGCAATGGCATTCTTAGGCATGGGAAGTACCTCAGAAACAAGCTTGACACTTTCGCTGTAGATATACTGCCCGCCAGTCATCAGGGAAATTCCTGTAAAAAACTCTGCCATAAGATCAATACGACGTCCAGAGTTTGGAAGATAGAGAGGTATTCCTGGCTTCGAACCCCTCATCACCACGTAAAGTGTAACGGCATTCGCAGCAAGTTGTCTACAGAGGCTTAAGACATCATGGCCATGGGTACACGTACATTTGAAAATATCAAGAGTACCAACTTGAACTTCTAAAGCTGTAATTGCAAATAACAATCGTCATTATCATTGACCCTTCCATGGTTTTTTCAATTTTCGACTGGGACCATTCGTCATCACGACTGGAACAAACCCCTTACAATCAGTAATGTTGCCAACGTTTAAAGTTGTTTAAAACTCACGAAGACATAGGTCCAAAAGGCCGCGAAATTTTACAGCCGTTTCTATGGTGGGAGGCGGGGGCAAGTTCGTGCCCCCCACCATACAAACGTCTGTAAAATTCTACGACTTTGTGGAGAAATATCTTCGCTCGCTTTGGACGTATCACATTTGAACTTGGTAAGTTTCCTAATTTTAAGGCTCTCTTTCCAGCAGCGTTGATAGATATTCGTTTACAGGTCTTTATCAAAACTTGGAAAACTGTTGAAGGATTCATTGACAACTGAAGGGGTCACGTGTCTGGAATAGAGCCCCTAAGTGACTTCTGATTAGCCCCTGGTAGATTTTCCTTATTTTGTGACTCGAAAAGAGCAGATATTAGATCAGGAATGACTTAGGGCCTACTTCACATTATAAAAAACCATCAATAGTAATACATGTATGTATGTACTGTATGTTCTTCAGGGTTTTTTTCAAAACCCCCGCCTACATCACACAGTTTCAGTATCTTGGCTCTCTATAAACCAGAAATGGAAGATATTACATGGCCGCGTGGAGATATGAAATTTCTATTCGAGGGTTGGAAAATAACAATAATAATTAAAAACAAACAAATAAACAATCGAAGATAACTTTTGTGCAAAAGCGAACATGTAATGTTTTAATTACACTGTATCATATAAACACCAATTAAAAAAAGAGAACATTTTATTTAAATATTTTTTTGCTGCGGAAGGCGTGATTTGGTGTAACCATAGCAACAGTGATCATTTCATGTGTGTATATGACATGTTATTTTCACATGTGAAGACATCAAATTCAAATTTCTCGCTGCCAAAGTAATTTAATTTTACTAACTACAAATTTGTCTATGCTCTGTTTTTTGTTTTTGCGCTACTCTTTTTTATTTATTCAAAGTGTTATTTTGTTTAATTTACCTTTTGTGATCATTTGCTTCAGTCTAATATTATATGCACGTTTTAGTCTTCATTATTTGTTTAAAATATCGAGTACCTTTTGCATCAATCATTTTACACCTAATAGAAAGAATGCAAATCCTTTATTGAGGCGCACATGTTTTTTTCCCGTCGAGACAACGTTTATTACAAAAGACTTGAACAAATCGTGACTTTGAAAATAACTTCATTGAATGTCAGGGGACTTAGGGATGACGCTAAAAGAAGAGAAGTATTTAATTGGCTTCGCGCCAAAAGGCCATCAATATGCATGCTCCAAGAAGTACACTGTATAGAAAAAACAAATCACTTGTGGAAAGCAGAATGGGGCTATCAAGCTTACTTCACCTCTTTTGAAAGCAACAAAGCAGGGGTATGTATTCTTTTTAACAATAATTTTAACCTTCAGCTCCAAAGACTTTACACCGACCCTGCAGGGAGATTTATTATCTGTGACTTAAAAGCTAACGAAAAGCTTTTGACCCTCGCTAACATCTATGCTCCCAACGAGGATAAACCTTCATTCTTTCAAAACTTTTACGATCATCTTTTAAATTTTAAATGTGAAGACATAATAATTGGCGGTGACTTCAACCTTGTTCTTAACATCGAAAATGACAAAAAAGGTGGCATTGCCAAAACTCACCAAAATAGCTTGAAGACCGTTCAAGAAATTTCAGAGAACCTAGATCTTCTCGATGTCTGGAGAATTCACAATCCAGATGACAAAAGGTACACTTGGAGACAACGACAACCTAAGGTTTACTGTAGACTTGATTTCTTTTTAATAAGCCAAAGCGTTATTGGGGACGTCACTAACACCGATATAGTGCCAGGATATAAAACAGACCATTCCATGATTACTTTAGATCTGTCTCTTCATGCAAATAGCAGAGGACCCGGCCTTTGGAAATTAAATACCTCTCTTTTAACCGAAACTGCTTATGTTAATCTTATTAAGACAACGATTAAGGAAGTTCAAGACGAATATGAAAACGATGACATGGTAAACTCTGCTCTATTGTGGGACATGATTAAGCTTAAAATACGGGAAAAATCGCTCCAATACGCAATGAATAAAACTAAGAAAACAAAGGGCCGTGAGGCAGAACTAGAGCATGCAATTTCCAAACTAGAATCGAAAATGGAGAACGGAGACTCTAGCGTAACAGAAAATTCTGAACTTGCAGAACAACTGAATGATCTAAAGAGTGAGTTAGAAAGAATTATTGAGACTCGTACGAAAGGTTCCATATTGAGAGCTAAAATTAAATGGCATAATGAAGGAGAAAAAAAATACGAAATATTTCCTCAACCTAGAAAAGAGACACTATAAGCAAGGCATTATAAGCCAACTTAAAGTGGACGAAAATAACTTTATTACTTCGGATCAGGAAATATTAGCAGAAGGGGAATCTTTTTTTATGAATCTATATACATCCAACAGAAATATACACAATTTAATTGACACATATGATTTTTTTAAACACGAAAACGACACCGTCCTGAATGACGAACAACGGAACAACTGTGAAGGCCTGCTAACTGAAAGGGAATGCCTTGCAGCCCTGAAAACCATGGAACAGGGAAAAACCCCTGGATCTGATGGGCTACCTGCAGAATTTTATAGAGTATTTTGGACAAACATATCAAACTTATTGATTAATGCTCTTAATTATGCGCACGAAACGAGTCAGCTTTCCATCACACAAAGAAGAGGAGTAATCAAACTCATTCCCAAGAAAGACGCTGAGCCGTATTTCATTAAAAACTGGAGACCGCTTACTCTTCTCAACTGCGACTACAAAGGAAGCAGCAAAGGCTGTGGCTAACAGGCTGAAAAAGGTTCTTCCCGATCTCATCAGCTGTGATCAAACTGGCTTTATGAAAGGCAGGTTTATTGGCGAGAACATACGATTAATAGACTATGTTATTCGTTTTACCAAAGAAAAAAATATCCCAGGGCTATTATTATTTCTTGATTTCGAAAAGGCGTTTGACACGATTGAATGGCCTTTTATCATAAATTCTCTTCAATACTTCGGTTTCGGCCCAAGTGTTGTAAACTGGGTCAAATGCCTTTACAGCAACATAGAGAGCTGCTTCTTAAACAACGGCTGGACAAGCAATTTCTTTAAAATTGAAAGAGGGGTCAGGCAGGGGTGCCCGTTGTCTCCATATCTATTTGTTCTTTCAGTTGAAGTCTTAGCCAAGGCTTTTAAAAGAAACAGCAATATCAGAGGAATACACGTTAACCAAGAGGAAATTAAAATAAGTCAATACGCAGACGATACAACCTTAATATTGAATGGTTCACAAACGTCGCTCTCAGCTGCTCTCAACACACTCGACGATTTTGGAGAAGCCTCGGGTCTCAAACTCAACAGTAAAAAAAACAGAAGCAATTTGGATCGGAACATATAGTGGAAAAACAGAAATTCTTCTTCCAGAAAGAAATTTCAGATGGCAAACAAACAAAGTAAAATCTTTAGGCGTTTGGTTTACGACAGACCCTGAAAACACTGTACTTCTAAATTATAAGGAAAAACTGGAAAAAATTAACAATATTCTAAGCAACTGGAAATACCGTAGATTAACCTTAAGTGGGAAGATCACTGTTCTGAAAAGCTTAGTAGCTTCTCAAATTGTGTACGTCTTGGCACCCTTGTGCACAAACAAAAAAAAAATAATTAGCGAGATTAACAAGCTTTTTACTTGTTCCTTTGGAACGGAAAGGGCGATAAAATAAAGCGAGATATTATGATTAACAATTACCCAGCAGGTGGCCTCAAAATGATTGACATACTATCTTTCAATAAAGCGCTAAAAACCACTTGGATAAAAAAGTACCTGGATACAGATAATCAGGGTAAATGGAAACTTTTTCTAGATCTTGAACTGAAAAAGTTTGAGTGTACCCTACCTTTCACAAGCAACCTTAATAAGATAGACATAGCTAATATCTTCAAAACGCAAGACAGTTTCTTAAAGGAAATTCTCCTAATCTGGTCAGAAATCAATTTTGAAGAGAGGATAACATCAGAGAGCCAGCTTTCAGAACAAGGCATATGGTACAACTCACTTGTAAGGATTAACGACAGCCCTATTTTCTTTAAAGAATGGTATCGTAAAGGCATCACAAAAGTTAAGCACTTAAGGAACAGAGAAGGAAAATTCCTCACTCCACCAGAATTTTTAAACAAATACGACATCAAGGTCCAACCCTTGGCATACTGTGGAATAATTTCTGCTCTTAAAAAGCTATGCAACACATTCAACCAAGGTGACCACACAAACGAAGGTAATAGTTACGAAAGCTTTTCGACAAAACTAATGAAAGCCCAAAAAGCAAGCAAGTTGGTGTATGACAAATTAATTACAAAGAAAAGTGCCCCCCCTACTACAAGCCAGCAAAAATGGAATCAAGACTGCAACTTAGGTCAAAACGAAATAACGTGGGGTGCGACCTACCAGCTAGCTCATAAAATCACAAAAAGCATAAAACTCAGGGAATTTCAATTTAAATTGCTGCACAGAAGAATACCAACAAACGCTTTCTTAACTAAGATAAGAGTAAAAGAAAACTCCAACTGCTCCTTTTTAAAAAAAAAAGAACCAGAAAAACTCGTACACCTTTTCTGGTCCTGCCCCAAAACGGCGCTCTTCTGGGAGAGCATCATAACGCGATTAAAACTTTGCCAAATTATTCCCGATAGTTACTCTGCAGACATGACTGTTTCACTAGGCCTGAGATCAGACTCTTCTAAACTTCAACGCCAGATCAACTTTTGTTTTCTTATTGCCAGGCACTATATCTGGCTCTGCAAAACAAAAGAAGCTATACCTCTATTGCAAGGATTTCTCAAACACCTAAAGACAATTTACAACATACAAGCACAAGCAGAAGCAAACAATGTTCTGCCCAAACAATGGTCATTCCTACACGACATCACGTAGAAACTATCGTTTCTACCATGGCGCTATTCCCAACGCCCCTGATATTCTCTATGTCTTTCATCCGTAGCTTATCCTGCCTCAATAACGCCAACTATCCTTAAATAAGTTTCTTCCGATGCAACTGTGTACTTGAAGCATACGAAATGTAATAATGTTTGAAAACAGTAGTATTGTTAGCAATGTAAGCAATAAGTATTGTCAGTATTGTAAGTATGGTATGAATGTTGTAAATAATGTAAGCAGTGTAAGCAGTGTTCAATATTGTAATTATTGGGTTAAGTAAAGCAAATAAAAAAAAAAAAAAAAAAAAAAAAAAAAAAAAATAAAAAAAAAAAAAAAAAAAAAAAAAGACATCAAAGCTCAGCTGGTATTTCATTGGTATTTATATATCAAAACATAGGCACGTTTTACGTGCATGAGCTATTTTAAATGTTTCAGTGTAACGGTATCGGCAATCTACTGTTTTAATCCTAAATTAAGGCTATGTTTTGTCCGAAATTGGGAATTGTTGTACATTAATGAAAACGAAAACCGATTCACTTTTCTTTGTCTTTCCTTCAGATATCTGGTGCAAAATAAATAAATTGTTATAGTACTATGAATATCAATTCACAAAACGTTGCTTAGAGGGAAGACTCGAAGGTTTCAAGATTTCTTCATGGTTTCTTAAAATAATGATGCTCGTCGAACACCGAATAGCTAAGAAATGTCACGATTTTCATCATTGTTTTAGATGGTTGCATTATCATTATTCCCGAGATTGTCACCTGCGATTCTACTTTAATGAAACAGTCTTGAACTCTGATGACTTAATTCTAAAGGTGTTATAAATTATTGCTTCTTAAATGAAAAGAGCCTTTGCTTAGGCACTAGTTACAAAACTTAAGATGCCTTCATACGTTCAAGATACTGTTATTACTGTGAAAAGCCAGCAAGGGATGTAGAATCACACAGTTTGTACGTGAAAGTGTCGGACTTTGCCTCTTTCGTGGTCCGTACGTGAGGGAGTTTGAGTTATGCATCAGTCAATTCCAGCTGCGCCGAGCATCCCCCCCCCCGGCTGACCCCCGGGCATTAGCATTTTTTTGCCTTGGGCGCAATTTCCCGGGGGTGGGGACTCTTGAGCTGTCAAATCCCCCGGGGTGGGGACGACAAAAGAGGGCAAAAGCCCCATCCTTTGTCAACACCGCAACATTTTTCATTGATCGCACAGTGGAATAATGCCGTTTTAAGCATTTTAATGTGCGGTTTTTTGTTTCAATTAACGTCTTCCTCTGTAATAGCGCTAGGATTCTAATGAAGACTTCACGCCGCGACGACATGCACCAGTTTATAGTTTTAGTATTGTTATAAAATTATTGCCATCAAAATTAATAGAGCGCTGTAACGTTATCTGTTACGAATAGTTTTATAAATATGAAAGGATTTTCTTCAAATAATATCAACAGAAATTTGATTCAGAAACCAAAAAACGTCGATTCACATCGATCGCTCCGATTTTCGCTATATATAAAAATTCTTGCTTGATAAGCAATGAAGAAATGCATGCATAAAATGGAGAACATGCCTTTACAACCCTCTTCAATTTATTCCTGTCCTTGAAAGATGGGCCAATCTACTTTTTTTCCAGTAAAACCTTCTGTGTAGTTGTCTTCTGTTGGGAAACTGCGTGCGTGTCAAAAGCTCAGGAATGGCCCCGGGGTTGGCAAATGCCCGGGCAGTGCAAAATTTGGAAATCCCCCACCCCCGGGACTGGCAAGGCGGACAAATGCCCCGCAGTAGCCCGGGGGGGGGGGGTAGCCTGAGGCTCTCTCCCTTTTTCGCTTCCATCTTTCCCCTTTCCCCCCAGAAACACCTGATGCTCAGGCTAGGGGGGGGGAGGGGGAAGCTGGGCGCAGCTGGAATTGACTGATGCATTATCACACAGTAATCCACTGAACAGTGAACAGAATTACAACAATAACTCACGCATTCATGCACACAATTTGCACGTGAAGATGTTAGACTTTGGCCCTTTGACAATTCGTACGTAAAAAACGCAAATTGTTTACTACAAAATTTTCTCAAACGATTTTAAGAAATCACCTCGGCTTTACAACATCTGCAATCAAATTATGCTTCATGCAAAGTCAAGGTTGATAGCCTAACATTTGTTAACTACCAAGAAAATTAACAACTGAAACTGCCGAAATATATTTCTCCTCATATCATGTTATTCCACTCAATAAAACAATATCTATATTAGTGGCAACTAGCTTCTTCCAATTCTATTCCCTAACGCAACTGTTTCTACGATCGCTGAGATAGAAAAAATTCTATCTCGGTGATTGTTGTCGCTGCGATCGCTACGCTCGGTGGAAAGTGGTTTTCTCATGATCGCTATGATCGCTGCGATCATATGGAAACCATGCAGGCTTAAGTTACGCATCTTTACTAAATAAAATACGTTTCAATAAATATAATAGTTAGTAAGCAGGAAGGATGTATCATTTTGGACACTTATTCATGTTTGTTTTTGCCGGAACGAAAAAGGTCTTTTGAACTTTGTAAGCGAGAGAATAAAGCTTGTTTACAGGAAAATACTCGGTACAACTTCCAAAAAAATAAGCTGCCTTTCAGCATCTAAAACCACAATTGATAGGCCGCATACTTTCGAATTAAAGTCCATATCTAAATATCAATTATTGTTTTGTTTTATGTTTAAATAGATGCCAAGATCTCGTTGGTTCCTAAGCATCAACTCATAGTGCCTTCAACCTTATTGGCTCTTGCCACTGACATATGAGCTATCTCTTCAAAATAGCTCAATAAAGGGGGAGGAGAAGGGTTCAAAAAGTTAACCCATACTGGTAATTAATATCTAACCCAATAAAGCTAAAAGCTCATAGAGACAAAATATTACTTTATCCTGCAAATAGAAGCTATTTTCACATGAAGTATTGAAAGTCTACTCACGCAGCAGTACACAGACTGTGACGGCTTCTGGGCGGCATTTATAATCATTGTTACAATCATCATCAACGTTATTGCTTAGGTCCACAGCCAAAGCCAGTCCGTCAGCCAGGCCTCTCCTAGAGCCACTGTTACCAAAACACCTCAAGCTGTTGATGTTTTCTTTCATTTTTGATTTGTCATCCGTGAAGTTAGAAACAGAAGCTATGTTGGAATCAGATGCAGTTTGGCCTCTTCGTCCAATATTGGGATGATTTTGGTAACTGATTATTGCCAGACGGAAATGGACACTTTTTTGGGACATGTCATCCACCATATGCCTTAGCTGTGTCTTGAGTTGCCCAAGAATAGCAGAATTTGTGGTAGCACAGTCAACAACAACTATCAAATCTAACTTTCGATCATCATGCAAGCAAGGTGCACCCAGTGACACATCTAAATAAAAGGAGTTTTCAAAACAAGTCAGTACATAACGTTAATGAGTACAACTTCTCCTTGCACACACCTTTCCATTTCGCGCAGTTCACTTGCTCCTAAAGATACTAATAGTCATACAATAGGCCTTTTGCATTAGTTGGTCACATGAATCATCTTTCTGAAAAATTTTGTTAGCATGAACTGAAAGAACATATTATTAAAATCAGGCAACCTGTAAATTTTCAGCCGTACATGTTATAAGTAGCGATTGGAACGGTCGCCGCGAATTAGAAGGATTTGCATGGGTTACCCAGTCATGCTTGAGAGGTTTTGCATAAAAATCCTTGTAAATTTCAAAGTTTACCAAACTGTTGTAAAATATTACCTTAGGCATTACGAGACTCAATTTCCTTTTTATTCATAACAGGCAATTTGAACCCTTAATATATAATAACAGTTTAAAATTACAAGGATTTGTATGGGAAAACCATTCATGAGTGACTGGGTGGCAAGAGTTGTTTTTCTCATACAAATCCTTCTAATTTTCGGCGGCCGTTGCAATCACTACTATTGGGATATAGGGCTGAAAATGTACAGGTTACTTAAATTTAATATGCTCTTCCAGTTCCTGCTAACAAAATTTTCCAAAAGCGAACTAGTTGATCACGTGACCAATTATTGCAAAAAGGCCTATTGCCACCTCCATCTTACATACATACATACATACATGCATACATACTAACTTTATTCAAGATGTAAACAAGCTTATTTACAGGAAAAACACAGTGTTAAAAGACATTTTGAAAAGGGAGTTGAGACATTAGCCCTATATCAGAACTCCCGAACAGAAAGCCCTATATCAGACTTCGCGAACAGAAATAGAAAATGCTAAATAAAAAATCAAATACAATACAAGCATTTAAAAATCAAGGACTTAATTAAAGCACGGTTCTAGTTTAAAAAATTTATTAAATAGATAATGATGAAGCTTATGTTAAAATGATGAAAGCTTTCAGCCTCTACTATGTCTCTTGGTAAATGGTTCCATTTTGAAACTATCCTTATAGAAAAAGACTATTTTTAGCAAGAGAGTCGTACGGTCAGAGAGCGACGTAATATATCAAACATGAGACGCAGTGTTTCATCACCAGATGAAACACCGAGAAGAGAGTTGAAAATACGACGCGCAGCGGAGTATTTTTGACGAACTTCGAGGTGTTTCATCTGGTGATGAAACACTGTGTCGAATGTTTGATATTTCTTCTCAAACAAAATCATTTTTGAAGGAGAAATTAAGGATGCAAATACTGAGCAGTTTTTCATCCGATTTCCAAACACTCATTAAACATTAATTTTCTTTGTATTTTCTTTATGAATTATTAATGAGTTTGAGAAGGCCATTTCAACAATTTACAAGGATCGACATAAGGCATTTCTCTTTTGTGTTGATTAAGTGCCAATCTAGATGCCCTTCTCTGTACACTCTCCAAGGCGTGGATGTCTTTGACGAGGTAAGGGCACCAAACGGGTACAGCGTATTCAAGAATTGGTCGTACCAGAGATAAATACAGCGTGGAGAAAACGTTTACGTTGGTGGTGTCAACAGAACGTTTGATTACACCTAACCCTAAGATCTCTGTATATAAGAGCAAACACTTGGCTGTGTTCCTTTGGCTGGTGTCTGTAAAAGTGGGATGATTTTATTCATTCATAAAGGTATAACTCTGTCATTTGTTGTATCAGCTGTTAAACAAGGCTACGCTTTCCAGAGCTTTGGAGCAAATCTTTAAGGCTATGTTAAGTAAAGAACAAACAATACTAATATTGAAAACATTTCACTTTCATCTAACCTTTTACTTCACGTTAATATCTTTTAATTAGGCTTTTTACTTTTATCATTGCCGCTGTTTGTTTATCTAGAATGCTTAGCCAGGGAAAGTCTAAAGTCATTGCTTTGGACAACTTTGAAAGCTACAAATCAAAGGCTACCGAAAGTGCTATTAAAGGTAGTTAGTTATTGCCAAGTTCTAGGCCAATATTCACAAATCTCGACTGCGCAGTCTTAATCCATAAAGGATTTGTTACAGGGTCAAAAGATTGCATCAAAAGAAATTAAACATAATTTGAAAATCTGGGTGCACTGCCTTCAAAGAAAGATAAGAAAGATTTTTCATGTTGCAACCAAGCAAGCAATTTTCAAGTGATTAAGATAGATTTATCTTGTCCACAGACGTGCCTCGTACTATGCAACTAAATTAAACTGTTAGCAGGGCCCCTGTTTGTCCATGTGACTGTCTAGTTGGATTTCCAAAGAATACAAACTGCTGAGGGGCATGGGGTAAGGGGAAGCAGATTTAGTTAACACCTGCGACGCTTGGTTGAGGCATGGGTGCGCGGGATGTCCAGGGACTTCCACTTTTGACACACAGCCAGCCTCTAGTTAGGCCCCATGGCTCGTAAACCCGTACCTTCGAGCCCAGAACTAGGCACCTGTCACATCGACATATCAGTGGAAAATAAAAGGAGGGAAGGAGCGGAGAATAGGCACAATCCAACGAAAGGCTACACGAGGCGAGTGACCACCAAGAAAGCAGTGTACTTAGCACACAGAGCTGATGCAAGCAAGGCTGACCGCGTTTGCTCCACCACACTGACCGCTGACCGATAACAAGAGACTGTGCTCCTTGTTGTTAAATGTGTTAAACTCATTAAACTTCATGAAAAACCAAGGAGACTGCATCAACTTTACTACTGTGACGTTAGGTTTTTAGAGTGTTCTTTGTCTTTAACTCTCACGAAATGTGCAGCGTTGCGCTAGATAAAATTTAGACAGATAATCGATGGGATAAGGACTAAATGGGACTCGAACACTTCGCATGGCTGTGTGGCCAACATCTCAAACAACGCCAGAGGTACAGGGTCGTTAGTAACTTGTCTGTAGAGTAAAGCAGAAGAATTACTTCAACAGAACTGGAACTCTTCAAATATGTTTAATCTTCCCACGTAGTTAACTCAACGACAACTCAAGTAATTCAGAAATGTTCACTTCTCTAGGCCAGAGGTAATTCAACTCCCTTGGTGACAGGTAATTCTTAGAGGTAATTCGAGTTACCGTATTTATTCGAACAAGCGCCAAACCTCGAATAAGCGCCCACCTCGAATAAGCGCCCACCCTAAAGGCAGAAAAACTCAATAAGTTAATAAACATTTAGCGGTCTTACAAGCAAACTTAAAATCCTCGAAAAATCATATTTAAGTCCGCGAATATTCAACGTACAGACTTATATTTGGTCTCTTTTTAAAGCTAAAAAAATTTATGGTACGCCAATGAAGCCTTCCGAATTATTTTGCTTCCAAGACACCAAAAATTAAAAATTCCAGCGGGCAAATGCGACAGATATCGCGTAGGATGGAAATGATCCAGACGACGATGTTCTGAAGACGGGATGAGCACGGGACTCACAAAGACGTATGTATCACGTGTTCGCGCGAAAACAATGCATTCTCTGTCCTACATGACGTCATGGTTGCCTTACATTACTCTATGTTACATCGATTCAAGATTTTTTCTGCCCCTGGAACAATGGCGACGCATCGCAATCGCAGCCTCGCGTCTTTGCGAGGCTGCTCGTTGGCAAAAATGCCTAGCAACTTCACTAGCCTCTGCTTGGTTTTGTTTCTTTTGTCAATTAAAAAATATTTTCTATTGCTTCTATCAACTTAGCCCCATGGCTCTAGAGTCCCTGGCGTTATGACGTCCGATGAGCTCTGAGATAAATATATTGTCCGAAATAACACCATTGAATGATATCAGAAGCGTGACAGCAAAAAAAGAGGATTGTAAACATCCCCATGTACCACGGTGCAGCTATGATTTTCGCTCATAGTACAGGCTCCATTCGTGTTAAATGTGCTGCTAAGGACTTTACGATCCCACGACGCGACGGCAACGAAAACGTCAAAAACAGCAATAGGTTTAGTTGGCAAAACAATAACTTTGCAGGTGCATCTCACTTTGTTGTACATTTCGTTGCCGTTTTTGCACGCCTTTAATTGGTACGACGTGAAATTGCCTAAATTTACTTAGGGAGAACGTAAACAAGCGACGACCAAATTTTATTCTCTTCCTAAACTAGAATATGTTTCTTAGAAATTCAACTCCGGGAGGGTTCACCTACATTTAACAGAGTAAGTGAGTTGGAATAATCGCGATTAAGACCGAAAGAACGCAAATTCATTTTTGAAGCGACGTTTTCGCTGCCGTCGCATCGTCCGATCGTAAAGTCCCTGATGACAGAAACAGCATCTTACCTAGTGTACTTGATGGAAGGTCAGCTCTTGCAATGGATTTCGGAAGAAGGCCTGTAGTTGGTTCCTGCATATGAATCTCAGACTTGTCACCAATTTTTACAGCCTTGACTCCACATTGGGTAAGCCAGGGTTCCTTTTCTAAGGCATTCAGACAGAGTTTATCCACCACTTCTCTTCTATTAGGCAGTTCAAACACTAGGTTAAACCAATTTGAAGCAACTTCTTCACACTTCACGAAGTGGCATTCACTGGGGTCAATGCGGAGAACAAGGTTCATGCTGTTTTTCAGTGCATCCACAGTGTCTGGCACAATGAAGTTTTGTCTTTGAGATGCAAATGAGAAACAAACCTTTTCCGTAGCTGCAAATAAAATTTATCATCAAATGCCATGTCTGTATGATCTTATTCTTTACAATCGTAATGTTCGTTAAAAAGGGTGATATCTTGTAGACCAATAACACAAATAACTGTTTACAATCTTACATACATGAACCCTACTAGCAAAACAATGAATACCAAAGAAAAGAACACTTAACAGCAGAAAATTGTTTGTGCCCTCCAGTCTTCCGTTATATTATCTGCTTATTAATAAAGTTTGTCGTTGTTGCCCATTTCAGTTCTTGTCTATGAAAATAAAACGAAGAAAGGAAAGAGTATCCACTCAAAACCTTACTCTCCGATCTATGAATTTTTCTCGTGGAGGAGAAGAGGGTTATCTCAGAGGAAGTGAGCTGATGGGCTTACACTCTTTTATGATTGATCTAGCACTCACCTCCCCAGGGGCCCCATTAAGTTTAAGTTTAATAATTCTGATTAAAAGATGGTGGGAGAGTAGCAAGGAGAAACTTAATTCCCAAACTGGGGCTACTTTCCCTTCATGAATGTAAAACTTAGACAACAAAACTTAGAATATTAAACAATATTTTAATTCATGCTAAGCTGGATTTCTGGGTTTTTGGGCCAGTTAGAAGCTGGGGTATGAAAAGGTAAAGAAAAGAGTGCATATAACAATGAAAAAAGGAAATAAAAAAGAAAAGCCGAAGGCTTCTGCCTTTTCCCTCTTCTTACCAATCTCTCATGCATACTCCCTTGACTTTGTTCACTACAATGAAAATGTGAGCCTCTACGGAGGAGAAAGACTTCATCCTCACTCTACTTTAATTTTCCAATCATGATCAGAAATCGAATAAAACAAAACGAATGTGCTCTATTACTGACCATTTTCTAAGATGTCAAAGTCCATCCAAACCTAATGACACTCTCCTACTATGATTGAAAAATACCGCATTTTTTGTGAGTCGCCATTTATAATAGCTTGGCCTCCTGGATTATCACAGTTTTGTCCAATGTGAATTGGTGGGAGGTTGCTATGAACAATACAAAACATTAGGGCCTGGGAGGGTATATTTGAGATCCGGAATTGGAACAAATACGGTGCGGGATTCACGAAAATGCAAAATACATATATCTCCATGGGGAACAGGATTTGACTGCTACCCAGGAAGTGAGATTCACCAGCAGTTAGGCATGGGAAGTGGATTTTTTTTTTCATGTGTGCCAGGAATTCGGGAAATCATCACAACTCAAACATGCGTCCTGGACTGACAAATGTGGATCAAACAGGCGATTGCCTCAATGTTTTTTTTTTTAACTCGGTATGTTTTTTGGAATTCGGGGAGGCGATGAAAACAGTACGAGATGGGGAATTCTTGTGAAAAAGAAGCGGGAATGCGGGATTGCAATCCCCTACTCCAGACCCTGATGCCAACGAAACAATACGTGTACGCAAGTTACACGGAATCTTATCTCATATTTACCTGGATATCCACTGTCAATTTCCATTGCTGGTTGCGGTTTAAAGTCTTTAACAATCTCTACAAGATCTGATCGCTGAGCTTCCGTTAAAAGTTCCTCGAGGAAATCTAAATTATTGTATCCCAAAAGACCTTTCTGCTTCATACACTTAAACAGGATCCTTGCTGTTTTGCATTTCTCCAAAGTGCCAGCCGGAATATGATTTTTAAGCAACAATTTCAAACTTTCCAACTGTTCTTCTTCAATTTCCTGTGAAAGTCGCTCCAAAAGCTTTTGAAAAGGGTTCAAGAGAGCTCTCCAACTTGATCGCGAGTTTACACTGGAATAAGCTTTACTTGTAGCATGAGCTGTTTCCACTGCTGAAAATAACATCAAATAGATGCAGTTAAAACATTCACTTGAAAGTATTATATACAGAGGAAAGGATGTTGTTGGCCGATCTTGCAAAGGTCTATATCGTGATACCAACGGGAACAATGCTTCCTACCAAGAAGAACTGAGCAATTCCCACCATAGGGCTGGTTCACATAATCTCCTTGATCCATGCGTTAACATTTGAAACATTAATTTACAATTTGTGGCAGACCAATCATGTCATTTTACAAGCCATTTCCACTATCACAAATTGTTACCCAAAGGTTGAATAAAAGTTAATACATTTAGTTTGTGGTAGAATGAAGGAAGACACAATGCTTACTTTAAATAAATATTTATTCTATGTACACCATTCACAATTGACCACTCCAGAAAATACTATAACATACCATAATGCTCTTTGTTTGTCACCCCAAAATTTTGCATAAGCATTGTCTTCGTGGTTCGTACGTGAGGGAATTCGAGGTATCACACAGTAATCCAGTAAACAGAATTATAAAAATAACTCATGCACACAATTTTCATGTGAAGATGTTGGACTTTGGCCCTTTTACAATTCGTACGTAAAAAAAACGCAAATTGTTTACTAGAAAATTTTCTCAAACGATTTTAAGAAATCACCTCGGCTTCATTACAACATCTACAATTAAATTATGCTTCATGCAACGTCAAGGTTGATAGCCTAAATATATTTCTACTCATATCATGTTACTCCACTCACTAAAACAATACCTAATTATTGTGTCAACTAGCTTCTTGCAATTTTATTCCCTAACGCTACTGTTTCTACTTAAGTTTAAAAAAATACGT